TATCTTTTAACACTTGCAATGCAATCCTCAGATGCTCTGCATGATCTCTTTCCGACTTGGAATAAATCAAAATGTCATCAATAAAAACTACCAAAAACTAATCCAAATAAGCATGAACATACAATTCATGTACTCCATAAATACGCTCGGCACATTGGACACCACGAACGACATCACAACATATTCATAATGTCCATACTGAGTCCTAAAAGCCATTTTTTGAATAACATCTTCTTTCACCCGAATCTGATGATAACCAGATCTCAAATAAATCTTACTGAAAACAAGAGCTCCCACGAGTTGATCCGTCAGATAAATGATTCTCGAAAGCGGATATTTGTTCTTGATGATAACTTTATTCAGTTGAAGATAATCAATACACAACCTCATACCACCTTCCTTCTTTTTAACCAACAACATTGGAGCACCCCACGACGACACACTGAGTCTAATAAACTTCTTATCAAGTAATTCTCCGAGTTGAGATTTCAACTCCGCCGATTCTGACGCAGACATTCTGCATGGTGCCATAGATATAGGTCTGGTACCTGGAATATGATCAATTTCAAATTCCACCTCTCGCTATGGAGGCAACTCTAAAATATCATTCGGAAACACTTCTGGAAACTCTTTCACCACCGGTAACTCATTAATCGACGTTTTGTCCTAAACAGACAATGAGGCAAACACCGCAAACATTTTAGCGTCATCCTCCAATAAGACTCTCAATTCCTTGGTAGATATAAAATTAGCCAACTCTTCCTCCTTTGGAGTAAGAAATGGTAACCTCTTCTGATAACAATCAATATAGACATAATTACTCTCTAGCCAATTTATCCCCAAAATAACATCCAGATCACTAAGTGGTAAGCAAATTAAATCCACTCCGAAATCTCTACCAAAGATCGACACAAGACAATTCAAGCACACTAACAATGTAGTGATCGACCCAATAGATAAAGTATCAATCACCATTCCTTTACTCAAGATAGATGGCACAAGTCCTAGTTTCTTCACACAATCAACAAAAATAAACGAGTGGGTTGCACCCATATCAATGATAGCAATCAAAGGAGTGTTATGAATGCAACAGGTACCTCTAACCAAACGATCCTCATTAGTAGATTGAGCCCCCACCAATGAAAATACCTTTCCACCGGTCTGCAACTTCTTCAGCTTCTGACAGTGGGTGGTGATGTGACCCTGTTCACCACAGTTGTAACATGTAGGTATATTGGTCCTACAATATTCCATAATATGACATGTCTTTCCGCATTTGAAACATTTCTTCAATGTATTCTGGCATTCATTAGCACGGTGACACACACCACCACATCTGAAACACTTGATAGGGTTGGAAGGATTTCCTCCCCCACTTGGCTTCTTGCCAGCAACAACTTTCTGCTTTCCTTTATCGGTCGGAGCACTGTAAGGTGTACTCTCATGTCTCTGTTTACCCATTTTGTCACTCAAGGTCTTGTAGTGAGCAATTCGAGCTCTGTTGTCTTCATCATAAATCTGACACCTGTTCACCAACTCAGAAAAGTATCTGATCTTCTGATAACCGATACCTTGTTTAATCTCGGGACGCAACCCGTTCTCAAACTTGATACACTTCAAACTCATAGCAGCATCAGTATTATAATGAGGACAATACTTCAACAGTTCCTCGAATTGAGCTGCATATTCTGCAACTGTCAGATTTCCTTGCTTCAATTCCAAGAATTCAACCTCTTTCTTGCCACAAACATCTTCTGGAAAATACTTCTCTAGAAACTAATTATTGAACAACATCCAAGTAATAAGACCACCTGCAGCTTCTAGCCTTTGACGAGTGTTATCCCACCAGTCATCAGCTTCTCCATCCAGCATGTGCGTGCCAAATTTCACATTCTGGGCTTCATTGCATCCCATGATTCTGAAGATTTTCTCAATGTTCTTAAGCCACTTATGTGCCACATCTGGTTCGTGTCTACCCTCGAACTTAGGTGGCTTGTTGTTTTGGAACTTTTCTAAACTACGGAACTCGACGTCCCCAACACTCTGAGTGATGCTCTGCATTGCCTGCGGAACTGCTTGTAACGTAGAAGCAATTGCAGCATCGTTCCTACTAGCTATACTGCTCAACACCAAAGGAAACACAAGTTAGAAGAAACACACGACTATACGCACTTTATAGTCAGACTATACTACTACACTGGTCGGACGGACCAACCAGACTCTGATACCAGTTGTAACACCCTACTCTACCCATTCGTATAAAATTGAAAATACGATAATAAGTGCAGAAATAAATAAGAGTTAATACACGTAGGATGTCACATATCCAAAAACAACGTCAAAGTGAAGTATCCAAGCGCTTCACCTTTTATTTATTTCATAAAAATAAGTAGTATGAATAATCAGCGGAATTCAATCAAATGGTTTAACATGTAAACTCCAATTACATCAATTTTCCTTATAATACGTGGTTCAACAACAATTTAGATCTAAACCAGATATGTAACAAATACAAAGTTAAATAACATGAAAGCATAATGAAATCCCCATCCTTCCCGTGTTACGTATCAGAGCGACTCCTAAGACTCGATCAAATAGCAACACCATGCTCCAAGCACTACTCAGGTACATGGTCATCTGTACTCCCCAAAGGAGTACAAACACAACAAACAAAAAAGGGGTGAGAACTACATTCAATAAATACACGGTGAAAACACATGCTAAGAGTAGTTAACACACTAACCACACAATTATCACGCACATACAAGTGCCACATCATCATTCAACATAAACAACCCACATTCAATCATATATAAGTATGCAATGCGACTCACTGACACAACACAATGCATACAATACCATCACAATTACATACGGTTCACCCTAGAACCCGATTCCCGTCGAAATATGGATAAGTCGTATACGTTCTTCTGAACTACGACTTATCTCCACACGACTCTCATATGGAGTCCGGACAAGACTCGACATCTAACATGGATTCCCACCTAGCTCATCTCTACACAACATGACATGAATGCATGACACAAATTATGCATAACGTAATAATTATTCAAACATAATTTCACGATCCTCAATGATCACACACGAGCCATATGCTCACCGTAATTCTCTCTGAAATTACTACTACAACACAAGACCATCCACACCTGACAATCTTGGCTCACACACCCAACACGTCTCAACTGTGCATTCTCATAAAAATCCACATTTTATTCCATTTAATGTCATTATTAGTTTCCTCTATGTCCAATTATACCATCTTAGTCTTACAGATCAAAAGGAAGTGCATCGCACGCGAAATCAAGACAAAAATTGCAAAAATGAGAAAAATTCACTACAACACTGTCTATACGCGTATGGCCTCCTCCCTACGCCCCAGGCCTGTGTATCATATGCGTAGGGCCCCATCTTCCCAGGCCTCATACGCATAATGCCCTAGACCTTACGCGTATGACCAGAGGGCTATTTTCTTCTAAAAAATGCTCAAAGGCTGCCCATACGCGTATTGCCTCCTTCCCCTTACGCGTACCATACGCGTATGGCCAGAAGGTCGTACTACCATTGGGATAAGGCACACACCTTACGAGTACGACCTCTGGGGGTGTCCCTCATACGCGTATGGCCTTTCCCCATACGCGTATGGCCAGTCAGCATACCCAAAAATTCCAGTTTTGCATTTACACAAATTCTCACCCAATGGAACCCATTCCAGCACCTAGATCAGGTCCAAAATAGCCTTTAACACAATATAATCCCAGAGTCTTACTTCTACTTCAATAATTCTTCATTTCCTTAATGTTTTCTATCACTAGAATCATTTTTCGTTAACTCTTAAAAAACCCAATTCTAGATCTGCTCTATATCAGAACTCAACAACAACAATACCATTTTTGCACGAATTTTCCGTTCGAAATCGACATATAACACAAATTCATACACACATTCAGTACATAGTGACAAATCAATAGTAACAATCACACAGACATAACAATCAGACAAAGAAATGAAGGATATACAGAAAATCCTAAGAGGGAAAAGCATCCTCACCACCCTCTCATGTTATAATCACCATTATTGAATTCCATTCTCCCCCTTACCTAAATCTCCAAGCTTTGATCATTCAACAATGGTAGAAAATCCCCTTGTTCTCTTGCCCTAACTCTTTTTCTCTTTTTTCTCTTCGATGAATAACCACCATCTGAAATCTGAAAACCAAAAATCCAAAACCACAGATCTGAGCAGGAAACAACAAAAGAAGATAGAACAAAAAACCTAAACATCAAAATGTTAGAGGCAGATCTAAAGAGGATAAAATATCATCCTATATATAAAAGCTGAAATCATTGATTTATAATCAACATCTTCTTAAAACCCAATACATACTGCAATTTTCACACATCATTTTACCACCATACTGTTCAAGGTAAAATCTTGCATCCAATTGAGGTAAGCTAACATACCATGGAACTTCTAGAGCATAACCACCTGCAAAATTGTTACAAAAAACCTAAAAATCAAAACGTTAAAGATAGATTTATACAAATCATTACATAACCAAAAAAACTGAAATGAAAGAAAGAAGGAAGAAGAAAAGAGAAAGGACGGCGAAAGAGAGAAAGTGAAAATACGCATAGAGAGAAAGGAAGACGATGGCAAAGAAGAAAGAGAAAAATCAGTATTGATATCATAAAATTAAATTTTAAAAATAAAATAATTGTAATAGAATAAATGACATCATCATTTGATTATTCAAATATAACCAACAAAGATTTAATACAATAACTATGTAGTTGAATTACAACAATGTGACACATAAAATAATATTCGAAATGTGATATTAATATTATTCAAAATTTCCTAGAAAATTATAGGAAGAATTAAATCGTTCTCAACGACACCGTTTAAAGTTTGAAAACGGAGTCATACTTCCTCATGCTATCTTCTTCTGCTTCAGTGAAAACTACACGCTCATAGCATAAATGGCTGCAACTCCCTCTGCTTCATTTTCCCGCTTCTCTGTTATCTCTAAACCACCTTCCCAACCGCAATTCATTCTCTTCAACTTCCCTAATCGAACCAAAACCCTCTATTCTCGAACCAGCGCAACCCGGTTCAGATGTTCCGCCGGTCAGATCGGGTTATTCTCGAAAATTGGCCGGTTGCTAAAGGAGAAAGCGAAGAGCGACGTAGAGAAGCTATTCTCTGGTTTTTCGAAGACTCGCAATAACCTCTCCGTCATCGACGAGCTTCTCCTCTACTGGAATCTCTCTGACACTGATCGAGTCCTCGATGAACTCGAAGAGGTTTCTCTTATTCGTTTCCTAACCGTTTTTTTAAAAATTTAATTAGCTTAATTTTCTTTGGTTATTAATTTTTAATTAATTACAGGCTCTTTTAGTGTCTGATTTTGGGCCAAAAATTACTATAAAGATAGTGGAGAATTTGCGTAAGGATATACTTGCAGGGAAGCTTAAATCAGGAAGTGAGATAAAGGTATGTATGAATTCAACACTCATAAATGGAATAGGGACTCAATTGTAGGTTGTTGTAGTTAAGTTTGTGTTGTGAATCTTTGTAGCACCGACAACACTGAAAAAACTGTGTGTCTGTGTTAGGGTCGGCGTCCGAAATCGACACCGAGTCGTGTTTCTGGTGTTTGTGCTTCATAGGTTGTGATTACGGCAATGTATTTACTAATGTTGTAGTTTATTTTACTGCTGTCAAATTATTGAATTGCCATTCCGGAAATGGTTTTGGAAAAAAACTAGCATCCGATCTTTCATTAGCTAGACAACTCCATAAATTAGAAGCTGAGATACAATCTCTCAAATCATGGATAATAGTTTCAACATCAGCATTGCATTTACTGTAAGTATCAGTTATATTTAGGCCGTGGCTAGCTTGCTTAGAATTAGTCATTAGAGCATTGTGAGAACCTTCTATAAAAGATAAAGGATCCTTCCTGTCCCTTTCACGTCTGAATGATAGTGAAGAAACAATTGGGCAATATATCTGCAGAATTCAAAACAGACTGATAACTTGAAGCAATTGAGAAAAGTGGGCGAAGGTTTAAACTCGGACTCTTGTGTATGGAGAAAAGAGCCCACCCTGTATGTCCAATATGTTTCTTAATTGAGATTAGTCACCACTAATGTGTGGTTAGTACTTCAACTTGTTTGGGAGGAAAGAGCCCACCCTGTATGTCCAATATGTTTCTTAATTGAGATTAGTTACCACTAATGTGTGGTTAGTACTTCAACTTGTTGGGAGGAAAGAGCCCACCCTGTATGTCCAATATGTTCCTTAATTGACCACTAATGTGTGGTTAGTACTTCATACTTATGACACGGTTTCTGAAAAAAGATATTGGTTAAGTAAGGTTAAATGCTATAGAAAGGGTAATTCTTATATTTAATTATTAAACATAAATAGTGATGGCCTGAACCATGTATAAACGTGGATACTGGAAAAATGTTTTGGATGGGGGAACAAACTCCTTAGAAGACTCATGTGTTGACTGGGTCATTATTTTATTAATAGTAAGTAAATGAGGGGGTCAGTTTGTAGAAGCCTCCCCTACCCTTGCCTCACCCACCAGGACGACCTTCAAAGGAGGGGAACTGAGGAAAGATTAAACTTGGCTAAATATCCTTTTTGGTCCCTTATCTCTACTCTAGGGTCCATTTTGGTCCCTCAACTTTAAAAAAGACCGGTTTCATCCTTTATCTCTCTAAACTGCGCCACTTAAGTCCTTTCCGTCTATTTGTTTCAAACGGCGTCAATATGTGCGCTCGTGGCAGCTGATTTGGCACTGACCGGTCATCTTCTTCGTGTTATTCATCAATTTTTCTGGAAATCTTCATTTCTGCAGAATCTATAGAACCCTAATAGAAGCAGCTCCACAATGTGTTATGAAACATCCAACAGAAGGGTGTTCCAAAATCAATTGTGGTTGAATCCAACTTCCATAAACAATCCCTTTTCCTTTAACTCTTTCATTGAACCCTTCAGGTAAAGCTTCTTCAATAGATTTAGATCCATTAGGGAGCTTAAGTGCTGCAAGAAATGGAAAACCTGCTAACTCAAGGCCAAGCAGCAACTCTTGAAACTGATTATGCTGTAATGGACTTTCACTTCCATATGCACAAAAAACCACAGAACCATGTTTGAATTCCTTAAGCCATACAACTCATTTTTAGCTTTGTAGAACTTGGAAACCAAAGCAATATCAAGTGACGGCAAAACCTTGGAGAGCACAGAATTAAATTTGGAAACGGCATCCAAGGTGAAGTAGGTCTCACATGTTCTTCACTCATCCCAATCTCTACAAGCGATGGCTAAATACCTTTGAATGAAGGCACTGCCATTAACATACCATTCTTAGTTTTCTTCGAATTTGCCAGCAATCCACAGTTTCGGGATCTGCGTTTTGTTTTGAAGTTGCAGCCCAACAAAACGCTTACAAAGTGTTAGCTAAAATGCCGCAATGAAAACCTTCATCACCAGTGGAAGACGAAAGAGGTTGTGATGACGTTGTATTTTTGTCCCAACAAATAACGTCTTGTTTTCCATTTCCATCAATGGAGCAGAAGACTTCGTATTGACCGAATGAAGCCGAGATTGGTTTGTTCATGCTTCTGCAGAGAAAGAAAGAGTTTTCATTTTTTATTTGTTTTTGTTTATTTTATTGTTTTTAATCCACCTAAGCGCCTTGTGTATGCCAAGTGGTCCGTGGGACCAAAATAGACTCCGAGGTAAAGATAAAGGACCAAAAAGGCTCTTTAGCAATTAAAATTTGTGTGCTCCTAATGCAATAATTACTTCGATTTTAATCAATATTCCATTTTGTTTTGTTTTTGAAACCAACCTAATTTCTTTTTATATGTTGTCATTCTATGGAGTTTAGAAATATTTCACATTATCGGATTTCTATTTATGGTTTTTAGTCTTGATATGTAACTAATTACTAAAAAGCTTCTGACCCTTGCGTAAATCAAATAGTAAATTTCAACTTTTATGATATGAACTGTTGTTTGTTACGATTTGGATGGTTTTAGGAAGCACTGAAGAAGAATGTTTTGGATTTGTTAAGCAACAAGGGAAGTAAAACTGAACTTAAACTTGGATTCAGGTGTGAACATTTTTAACTGCTGACTTTTTTTTTTAATTAATTTTATTTTTTTTATGTTGTTTCAAGTTGCTGAATTTAATTGGATTAAATTTTATCTGCAGGAAACCAGCCGTAATAATGATAGTTGGTGTTAATGGTGGTGGGAAGACAACATCTTTGGGTAAGTAAAACACTTCAATTGTTGATTCTAAAATGTTTAAAGGTTTCATCTGTCTGGTGAGGATGGAGAATGATAGGAAAAACATAACTACCACACGTGCAATCATAAATTCCTAAATTGATAATCTCCAAACAAAGACAGTCTTCACAAACAAAAATATTGTTTTAACAATATAGAAATCCAAAACCATATCGGTTTGATCAGCTTTTACTTGCAGGAAAGCTGGCTTATAGATTGAAGAATGGAGGTGCTAAGGTTAGATTATATTATGAGTTTTGATTTGTTTTTTCACTTTGATCTATGACATAGAGTTTGTTGGTAATACCAAAGAGTGACTTAAGCAACACTTCAATTGCTCTACAAATCTAGATTGTTAAACTGGCTGGATTTGCTTCCCCCTTTATGTTTTGTTTGCTTGTAGAGGATATCTTTGTCTCATTTGGAACTATTATTTCCTTTATAAATTTAGAAGTAAAACTTAATATCTTTAGATCCTTGGAAGATGTACTATATTCAGATGTGATTAGTGGATCAAATGGGAGGGAATCCAATCAGTAAGGGAAAAGAGCAGGAGTAATAAAACAGTAGGACAAACAATTTAAAGAGACGAACTCCAAATGGTTTTATCAGAAAATTGGTTTTTGACCGAGACTAATTGCATTCAGTAAAGTAGTCAGCCATATTTACTGGGATTAACATTTGGTTTTGATACCTTACTGCCAAATTTCTCTGTTGCATTTGTAAGGATTTTGATGTATCTACATTAGTCTACTCATTCTGCATAGCTCAGTTTTGCGAAAATTTAAAATTGACCCGAATTGTCCCCAATTGTGGGCATGTCTTACACTCTGAAGTATTATGATGCTTGATTCTTCAAGATTTTTTCTCATCTCCATTTAAGGTGATATTTAGTATCCAAGATCATATCATTTTATTTTCGATCACTTATTTATGTGTCACATGCTAGAATACAAGATTTCATGCGGGTTTTTCGTTCTATTCAAAATTCTATCAGATATTGTTGGCAGCTGGTGATACATTTAGAGCAGCTGCTAGTGATCAGCTAGAGATATGGGCTGAAAGGACCGGGTGTGAGATTGTTGTGGCTGAAACTGAAAAAGCCAAAGCGTCAGCAGGTACAAATAGAATTAGATTTTACTTCTAGCCTGCTGTTCATCACTTTTTGAGTTTACAGAATCTATATTAGAAACCATTTTGTTATTATCCTTATTGTCGTTGTTATGTAGGGTTTGGATACTAAATTTTGTAACTTTGTATTTCTTGCAGTGCTTTCAAAGGCTGTAAAAAAAGGAAAAGAGCTAGGTTATGATATTGTATTATGTGATACATCTGGACGTAAGTACAGAAATTTTAGGGCTAGCAGTTTTAAATTTTAATACTTGGCAGGTTGTACATTAGCGTTGGTGTTCATGTTATATTCTCAGGTTTACACACCAATTACAGGCTAATGGAAGAGTTGATTTCTTGTAAAAAGGCTGTTGCTAAAGTAGTTGCTGGTGCACCCAATGTAAGTGTTTTTGACGCTTTTTCCTCTCAACTTAATAATCTTTCTGCTTTTGTCTATTTTTGTCTTGATGATGTCAATTTATAGCTTGTGGTCTCTTAATATTTTTTACTTTTCAAATGAACTGGGAAAAAATATGACCAACGTGACATTGGTTAATACATTCATATTTGGGAACTTATATCTTAGCTGCGTGTAGGTTTTCATGTGAGGTGAATTTTCACCAATGACGTCAGCAACAAGAATCTCTATGCAACACAACCCTTTTTATTGAAGATTAGAACTAACTGAAATTTTTAAGTGCTTTTAAAAATTTGTGTTTTCTAATGATGGGTAATAGTTTCTGTTGATAATGTAGTCCACATGAGCCAAAGGGATAGCAATGCTTGGTTTCCATTTATCTATTAATCAACAAATTCCCTATTTCTAGTGTACGGGGAGATTTATGTTAAATTTGATTTTTATATCTTTACAGTCTACAAGTTAATAAACTCTCTAGCAGCATGACAGAAGTTTATCATTTGTGTAAATTGGATTACACCTGTCATTTGTTTCCTTCCTTAGACATCTTGATTCTTGATAGGGCTCAAGCTGTTGCAGCGAATTTTAGTATGATGTATTGGATTATCATGCAAGGATCATATTTGTGTTGTTCCCCAGCATCTTGCTTGTATCTTTTAGTATAACTGCATATTTGATAGGAAGTATTAATTTTTTTGTCCACATTCTGAAAGTTGATTTGTTACTGTATGTATTTTATGAGTGTAATGGCAAAATATCTTTCATGAATATCTCTCACACTCACTCATCCCCCCCCATTGTATGAAATAAGGCTGTTGCGATGCTTGCAGGAGATCCTACTGGTTCTGGATGGGACTACTGGTTTGAATATGTTGCCACAGGCCAGAGAATTCAATGAAGTAAATTCTAATTCTCATTTTTGTCTTTTTCTGTTTGGGAAATTTGTTATTTTACATATTTGGATTTGAAATTGAAACTATATCAAAATAGCATTTTCCATTCACATTGCTTCTTTGGGATGAATGCTGCTGATATTCTTAAGCTAAAGATATGCATTATGAGAAGAGATAATAAAACAATTCTACACTACCTTAGCTATTTAAAAAAAAAAAATTTTTTTGCCCATAATATTATTTCAGTAGTTGTCATTACTTATTAGGGTTGCCACAGTTTCATATTAGCTTTCTTTAAGCTGTTAATGAAGATTTTTTTTGTCCTGGGACAGGTTGTGGGTGTAACTGGTTTAATATTGACCAAACTGGATGGGTCTGCACGAGGTGGCTGTGTGGTACAATACTTTTTAGGCTTAAATAGGTTTTCATCGTTCAAATTTTTTATTGTGGGAATCAAAGGGTAAGGAAGAAGATGCTAATTATGTTGGCAGGTCAGCGTGGTTGATGAACTTGGAATCCCTGTAAAATTTGTGGGTGTTGGTGAAGGTGTTGAAGACCTTCAACCCTTTGATGCAGAAGCATTTGTCAATGCTATTTTTATGTAGACCAATGGCATGCTTTGGTATGTACTTCATGGCCTATCCTTTTCATTCCTTTCACATTAAAATCTAAATCTTTTAGAAAAACCTGTCATACTATTTGGAGTATATTATTATGAATCTCTTGCTATTGTTATATTTGGTTTACCAGGCTATATATCTTACTGTTCAGAATCATATATTGACACGAGTATGCTGAGCAACACTGGGTCACAAGAAAGATAACATTTTATCATTGAATCCATTCTTGAGAGGCCAAAGTTTGTAAATGGTGAAAATGATTCTGAGGGAGGAGCTATTCTTGCTTTGGAGGCAGCTGAATTTATAAAATCCCTTCACTGTTTTGTGGTTCCAAGTTTCTTGACAATGTGACAGAGTGAATGGATTTATTTCCCCTCTTGACATATAACTCGAAGATTTTGATGTGCTGTGCATGTGAATGATATTCCAAAAAACATAGACTGAACAATGGTCCATTGTTTGTCAATATTTGATTAATGGCATGGTTTTTTCTTCCTTTCTTCAACTTCTCACGAGGTTTCTATTTCATTGTTTTTGTCTTTATGGGGACAACTTTCAAATAAGGCATATTACACAGCCATCTACAATTATTATTAATTTTTTTCCTTCATTAGCTCTCCAAGAAACCCTTGAGCTTTGCTATAAACAAGCAAAATTTTAAATATACCTTTGGTCATTTCACATATATCCTTTTAGGACTCTTTTGGTGTGCAGAATAGTAGACCTGATAGAATAATTGTATCATATAAGTTAAATATTGATTAAACTGTATTGAATCTAGTTTAAATATTTTAAAAAATGAAATATAATATAAATAAAAAATAAGTTTGAAATTAAATTAAAATATTGATAATTAGCCTATAGAAATTAAACATTTTAAAAAAAATTATTATTAAAATTTCTCAATATAATTATTAGTTGTATTAATAGAAAAATTGCATATAGTAGTCTTGTCATTTACATATAATATATAAGATATTTGTATATGATATATTTAACTTCTATAATGAATTATTTATTTAATTTTTTGAAATTAATGCTAACTATTTAGTAATGTCAATAAACTTTATAAAAATTATAAAAAATTGTTTCATTACTTAATTTTTTCAGTAATTTTTATTTATTTATTAAATTTATTTCTTTTAAAATTAATTAAAAAATATATGTAATTTTTTTAGTATATATATTAATAAGTGTGTATCAAATATATAAAATGGTAAAATGATATGATATCATGTTCTTTTCCATGTGTAAACCAAATATAAGATAAATTATGTGTCTCACGTGTATTTGAAAAGAAAAAGAAAATATGATTAATAAAAATTAATAAATATAAAAAATATAATTTATATTTAAAAAATAGAATCAATACCCGACTCTTGTTGATGACGCGTATTTGTTTTTTTTAAAAATTAAAATAAAAAAGAAGACAATTATTTTGCGAAATTTTTTTATTTATTTATAAAAGAACATATTTTTATTTATATTTGGAGCATAAATATGATTTTTCATATATATACATATATTTGGATAAATCATACATTAAATATTAATTTTGTTTTGATATTTTTTTATAAAAATATTTATACAATAATTTAGTTTTATAAATATCAAATAATAACATAGTATTTGTAAATATTATTTTAATTGTATAAATAAATATTAGTAACATAAATAAATATATTTTTCTTGTGTTTGGATTCATATATTATTTTAAATATATTTTCCTTTAATTTTTTTTAATTATACCATAACTGTAATAACGCGTGGGTTCGCACGAGTACGGGTAAGTTATCCGCATTTGTTTTCAAAATATAATAAGAATGGATAGAAAAAAAATTGCTCATATATTAGTCAAATTATTACATCAATAATATACAATTCAAATTTCTATTTATTTTCTTAACAAATATTGTATCTTAAATTAAAAATAATTTAAAAATAAAAATATTAGTAATAGAAATAATTAAAAAAATAACACATTTTTTTGTGTGTTTGGATGCATACATTAGTTTAAATATATTTACTATTATTTTCTTTAATTGTACAAAAACATGAAATAAATCGTGAATTCGCACGAATTCTAGTATGAATATTCGTGCGTTCATACGAATACTGGTGTATTACGCGCATTTGTTTCAAAAATATAATAAAAATTGATCTTACCTGACTAAACAAGAGATCAGCAGCCAGCACGCGTAGTGAACTCCTAATTCGCCAGTGGTGGAGAAGAGGAGGGGGTGTACCTGCAATGTACTCCGATGTCAAAGTAAGAAACAGAGTAAAAGGAAGCAAGTACAGAAAAGCTAGTTGTGAATAGACTACCTGATCCACTGGTGAAATTGGGTATTTATAATGAGCCCCCAGCGCTAGGCGGGCCAACGGTTATTTTGCATCGGGTTGAATCACTAGGCCCAATACAAATAAATGGCAGGATCTACATAGCGTAGGGAAGACCAACTGCCTCGTGATCTGTTCTCGCGTGGGGAGCACGTGGGGGAGAGGTGAGTGTTCCCCGTGTGAGTTGATGGATTGGGCCATCATTGGGCCCTCCTTGACAAGGAGTTGGGCTGGGCTTTGCCCGGCTGTGGGCCAGCCTTTGGCTCAATCCAGAACAGAAGCCCCCCCAAGTTGTTGCTCCGGAGCGGGAGAGTAATGAGTTAAAAGTCAACTATCGTGTCGAGGATGGGTTATCTGGCGTGTCGCTCGTGCTTGAACACACAATATTATCGGGGACCAGATGCAGAAACCATTGATTATGTTCGACCGTGAGCCATGTCCCTGGCCGACGACGGGGTCGGTCATTTGCTCATCCTAAGGCCAGGTGCTCGTCCCAAGTGCAATGACTTGCTTTCATCTCCTTTTCGAAGAGGTGTTCACGGCACCACAGGAGTCGGGTATTGTCCTCGACATGTCAGGTGGTATGACATAAGTGAAAAGGGTTGACACGTCATTTCCTCGAGCCGTGCGAGAGGACTCGAAGGGACGCGTGTGACGTCTTTATGTGCCACGTGTCAGAAGCAATGAATGCCTACGACGGCTATAAGTAGGGTGCATGAGTGCCTACGAAACGCCTCGCTTCCCGTGCTAGGGTTTATAAATAGAGGGGAAAGTCAGTTTATTCGCACGCTTCCCTTGTAACTCAAAGAATTTCTCAAGATCTTATTTTGCTCTTCTTTCACCCGTTCACCGCCGTCGTCGTAGCTAACCTCTTGCTTTGTCGTTCAACTTCATATTCCTTGCACAAGTAAGTCCTATGTCTTTTCCCATAGTTTATTTGTTTTGGTGAGTTATGCGTCTTCTGGTGGTCTCGCCGGGAGCCCATGAAGTTCTCGACAAAATCATGAAATTTCCGACGAACTTCATGAAGTTTCCGACGAGCTCATGAATTTTCCGGCGGGAGTATAAAGTTTCTGACGAAGACGCCAGGGAGTTCATGAGGATTCTGGAAAACTGCATAAATTTTCCGATGAAGGCCTCGGGGACCTACGATGAAGGTCTCGGGTACAACTAAGGCTTTTTAGTGTCCCCGGGGGGCTCGATGTTGGGGAAATTTTCTCTCTGTGGACGTGTGAGTATCTCGAGGAAGTCTCTAGTCGAGGAGACTTTCCACGTTTGACTTGGGGAAATTTAAACGCGAAGGAATGTTTCTCCCGTGGAGGGAGGTTTCGTGTTCTGTGTCGAGGAAAGTCCCCTCATGGGTGCGCACTTTCCGGCGTGATGTCTTAGGTCGAGGAGGTTTGTCAAGTGTTTCCTCAACCTCTCTCTTCACCCTTTCACTTGACTTACGATGGAAGGGTGTATTTGATCTTAGATCTCGAATTCACCAGTTTTCTCTGCTTTTTAGGTAGAATGGCCGCAAAGCCCGAAGGCACCATCATGATCGGCGAGGAAGTCGAACTCGAAGCAGTTAACGAGGAGGCCGAGGTCACGCATGCCCACTCATCGCCCGACTAGGCCAGGCAGGAGCCTCTCATCATTGCCTCGCGCTTTGCCGTTGATGATTCAGACGCCTTCGCGCCCGTCGAGGATCTCGTCGAGGGGGCCCCAACGAATTAGATGGTCTACAAACCTAAGAAGAGCCACCGGATATGCTCTTCGTTTAAAGGGATGCAGTTCTCTATGTATGAGTTCGCGTTCCAGGAAGCAGGGCTTTGTATGCCTTTCAGTGACATCCAAAAAGGGGTGTTCCAGTGGCTAACTTTGGCTCCTTCACAACTTCACTCCAATGTGACCGCGTTCATGCGGGTGTTCGAGCTCTTGTGCGAGTATCTTTATGTTGGTGCCACACTCCCCTTGTTCTTTCACACCTTTCATCTCTAGTGCCAGTCCTTCCAAGGTCGACATAGCTAGGAATCTCTAAAGTAGCCGAGGAAGCTGTTCAGGGCGTACCTGGATTCTGTCTGTGCCTTTAAGGACAAATACTTTGTCATAAAGCCGGTGTCACACGTGGCTGCCGATTCTCTGTTCGACCGCATGACCAAGCTTGAGAATGGGCGATCAATGGAGACTTTGGAGGCAAAGTTCCCTCTTGAGTGGCAAGAGGGCCACTTCAAGAAGGGAACAAATAGCTATATCACCAAACTTGACGATCTGGACCCCGAGGACCGGCTCGCTTACAGGAAGATAGTCGAGTTCGTCTCCAACTTTACTCCTGCCAAGTGTGCCAATAAGGATGGGAGTTTTATTCGTGATGAGCATGGGGATGTCCTCCGCGAGTCTCGACTAATCAACACCTGGGCCCTCCTCGAGTGTGGATCAGACGGGGAAGCGATGAGGCTCTTAGGTAGTAGGTGTTCTCTTTGCTCGTGTGTCTTCTAGTTTCCTATCGCTATATTGACTTGTTTATTATTGTCATCTTTGTTGCAGGTCAGATGTCGAGCATTCAAGAATGTAACACCCCAAATTTAAGCAGAATATTTTAATTAATTATTTAACTGAGAATATTCGTATTTTGAGTGGTTTTCGGTGGTTTTGTGGATTAT